CTGGTGCAGTTTGTGCCGGAGTCAGCTGCTCCCGGTCTCAGCATCTGCACATGTACCTGGTAGGCGAAGCAGCCCTGGGTTGGCAGGGGCCTGGATGTGGGGGTGGGGCATGGTCAGTCCAGGTAGCTACATGGTCAGTGCTACAGTGCTGGCCTAGCCAGCAGGCAGACCCCTCATTTTAGCACCCTTGTGCCTCAGCCAGGCCCTGTCACTGTCTACACCTGCATTTCAGTGAAGTAAATTACTCTGCCATGGGATACTACTGTCTCCAACAGTACTGTCCTATGGCAGTACTATCCTACAGTAATAAAATTAATTAAGTTACTGCACCCTAATACGGGCGCATGTGTGAACTGTAATGCTTTACTGCAGAGCTAATTAGTCAACTTGTCAGTGGAACGCATGTGTAGCTGCACCCTATGCACAGTAACATAAGTAGGTCTGTGTATCACAGTGCATGTGGAAACAATATCACCTTAACCAAGCCACACTGCCTCTGGCCTACTCACCTCCTCCAGGCCCCCCCATATTTAGTAGTGGCTAAGATACCCTTAACTGCCTACCTCAGAGGAGGGTATATTAGAACAAAGATTTATTTAATCTTTCTATGAGAGATCAATACCTACACTAAATAATTGAAAACTGCAAGACAAAGACTGATGGTCTAGTAGAAACAAAGGCAGTATGTGTTATGCTGGAAGTAATCAAAGGCATATTGAGTGTTGTGGTACCTGTCATTTCCCAAAGGCCAAATATGTGACTAAATTAAAGCTGTGAAGAATTACAGCTAGAACTGAGAATGTGCCCTTCACTCAGGGTGACTTGTCAGATATTCTGGGACTAAATTGCGTGAGAGGGTCTAAAACACAAATAAAACACCTTTCTCTGCTCTTCTGCTTTAATTTCCACATATTGTTCCATCTTACAGAAACAGCGGTGACTGTTGGGTAACGCATATTTGACTTGTCATCGCTTCTAAAATTTGACTTGTCACCTCATCACTTCTAAAAACTCTTGTGAGTGCTAACCACTTGTGGCATTAGCTGAACTGCCTGCTTAGGGGCATTTTGCAGGAGCTGCCTGGTAGTTCATCTGTGGCTCTGTGCCTGCACACACAGCTGTGTAGATGTCTGTTCACCTTGGGAATTGCAGACACGGTGAGATGGGGCCCTTGGCTGGAGAGCTGTAAAGTTGCCTCAGAGGTGCGCTGTCCGGCTAGACCGTGATAGGGGGCTGCACCTTGGGTCCCCTGTACTTGACAGCCTTCCCTCTTTCCTGCTGGGGAAAGGGGTAGGCTGTCAGTGATAAGCTGGCCGCTGTTGAAAAGCAATAGCTTCCAAGGACAGCCCCGCTCCCCAGCTTCCCCTCTGGCAGTGCCATTGGCAGAGCCCCAGCTTTTGCCAGGATTCTTGCTGTGGGGTCGGGAATTCCCTCATCCTCATCCTCATCCCCACCCTATGCCCACTGACTCCTTTAATCAATCGAGTAGGCAGGTAGGAACAGGAGGGCTAAGGTTTGGGTGAGGAAATTACTGCTGGCACATGAACAGTCCCAGGACTCTAACGGACTGTTTAGCGGGTAGCAGGAATTGATGCTGTTGTTTGAACAGTCCTGAAGAGAGCCGAGACTCTTCAAATGGCCATGGCAGTAGGGTCTCCAGGGTGCTTTCTGAGAACTTAACACTGAGTGAGCTATCAGGAAACCAGCTGCCTCCCCCTTGGAGAGGGTGGAGGGAGAGTAGAGGACTGTGGGATACTGGGTGTCCTAAGGACTCCCATTATGCTATGTGAACCGGGAAGAGGTGTTACACGTGGCACTAGAAAACTCCACTCTAGTGAAGTTGCTTTCAGAAGGAGTTAATAGCCTGTGACAGAATCCCCATTTTCTTCTGACACAAACTACTTGGATGCCTGCACACACTTTTTGAGCTGGGAAAGGACATATTTCCTAACACAAATGTAATGCCTCTCCATAGTCTTAAATACAGAAAACTTTAGGGGTGGACTGTACATTAAAATAAGTGGTATCTTTGACACCAGCCAGTACCCAAGTGGGCTAGAGCTTTTAGACATACAACCCCTTTTAATTTCAGTGACAGTTGTGTTGCTAAGTCCTTTTGAGAGCTCTTAAAATCTTAACAGTAGACCATCATTAACAGTAGGTCTGATTTGCCCTACTGTGTTCCTCAAAAAGATATATTATTTTGCCTAGAGCCATGTGGTATTAACCCATTCACTTCTGCTGCATCTTGCAGCCACAACACTTCTGAAAGAAGCGTTGCATTATTTAGGTGTGTCTGGCCACGTTTGTGGATGATGGAGCATAAAAGTATGTAGTTGAGTTATTTTGTCGCAGCAGAGCTGCATTCTGAGTTTGCTGTTTGTCATGATTTGTATTTTGAGAAGTTTTTTGAATCCTGTTCTTCCCAAGAATTTCTTAATTAGTCTTCTCCAGAGTTGCTTGACAGTGAGCAAATGAGTCATGCATAAAGCGAGAAGAGACTTTCAGCATTAGGCTTCTACTACGCTGATGTGAACCATGCATAAGCAGTGTAGTACACTGCACTAAGAGCCTTTTACTGAGCCTGTAGAGTCCTCCCCAACAAAGCATAACTGGGCATATACCCAAGCATTTAAAAGGATGAATGATTATCTGTAGTACTGCACTACTAATGGCTAGTTGTCTGACTCACTCAGATTGACCGCCACTGTTTGCTCCATTTCTGTTAGACTGAATGAAAGCCCCATACTGGTACCATCTATATGATGGAAACTTAACCTCACTAGAGTAAACACTGGACACAGTGAAGTCCAGAGGATATAACATAGGACTGGTCTAGGAGAGTCCTAAACTGTTTTCCTGCTCTGCTGTTGATCTGTCAGTAGGATGAGAGGCATGCCCCTTAAGTTTTCTCTCTCTCTTGGGACTATCTGTGAAAAGGGGAACAATGACACTTGTCTACCTTTCTGAACCACCTCAGAATGAAAATCAATTCATCAGTGTCATGTATTAATATCATGCTATATTTCTGAAGTGCTGAAAAGAGGTTAGATATGATGGGAGAAATCTGATCACTGTAACTATGTATTTATTCTGAGTCTGACCAGATATTTTTTACTTCAATAAATATTGGAGGGAGGAACAAAAAAAGATCTTTAAAAAATTTTTGAAGATGGAGTGACAGACCATCTATGAGGTCTGTCCTCTATGAGGATAAACCTTCCTCAGAGCAGCCAGTAGCCTGGTGGGGTTAATGGACATGCCTTGCCTGCAGGAGACCACAGTTCAGGTTTGTGCTCCAAATCAGACGGAGCAGGGATTTGAACCTTGGTCTTCCATAGCATGAATGAGTACTCTAGCATGTCTTTTCTCCTGCCTTCCCCTCCTACCCCAACCAACCCTCGATCTGTGATAATTTCCTGGAAATTTGTTTTTGTCCACATAGATTCATTTTCATATCATGTTTTTGTTTGGATGAGAAGGCATGGTCCATCTGCAAGCAGTTTCATCAAAACAATTTTCAACAAATGCTAATTAATTCTCCCTGTTCTGTGACCTTTAGCATGCACTAGATTCCCTGCCTTTTACTCCTCCATATATTCCCTTGGTGACTATCAAAGTTCAAGTTACAAAGACTTCCACTAAATACAGTTGTCCCTTTATTCCATTTTCTTAAATGATTTTTTATGGTTGAAATTTTGCAGGAGCAGGCTTTTCCTGAGCACAGATATTACTGTGAATGTTTGAAGAAAACTTCAGTAGATGTCTTTTAGTCATGAACATGTTGGGAAGGCATCATCTTCCCTTGGTTAAAGATGCTTGCCTGCTGCAGTGTTTTATCACACAGCTAATGGGAAAAGTAGTTAAACTTGGACACTTGAACCAGGTAAACCACACTCAGCAAGGGTGTGGGTAATTCACACACTCAGCAAGAGTAATTATGACTGAAAAAATAGATTGGGAAGTAAGAAGACTGTGAGCAATTGAGAACTGTGTACTGAACATGTCATAGGATCAGTTACCAAGTCCAAGAGCTTACATGCATAGAGATGGTTTGTGCATTTTTCCACTTTTTGGATATATGTTTTTAATATCTAGTTAGTTAAAAGCTTAAGTGTTCATATTCTCTGCAGAACTGACTTTGAGTAGTTTACATGCAAAGTTAAACCACCTTAAAACATTAAAGCACCCTATAAACATAGGCCAGTTTGGCATCCTTTTTGCTCTGAAAGATCGCCCTGTAGAAAGGGTGTCATGGGGGTCTGTGTTGGTCTTCAAGGGCTTATAGAGCAAGAATGTTCTGATGTCACAAAGGCAGTATGGTACCTAAAGCACATGGTCTATTTTCCCTGTCTCCTCTATAATTACTATTAAAAAACATGCTATGGGACAGTAGATGTATCCATTACATCAGCACCATTCATTGTCTCCATATGGGGTGGAACAGATGCAGCTGAGAGCAAAGTATGTCAGTGCAGTTGGCATTCAGCAATTTTATGGATGGAGCACAAGCCAGAATAGAGCTGGCTCCTCACTTCGTTGTTCCTGAGGGGCTATCAGGATTAACAAGCAAAATAAAATCTTATTTGTACTGGTCAGAGGACTCTGAATATCCTGAGGGACCAGAGGAGCTCTCAGTAGTAAAGGAGATGCCATTTTCAGTAGTCCATCTTCCTGCTGCATGTGTTGTTTTCATACTAGCTCCACTCTGCTGACCAGCATGGACCTGTCTTTATTCTGCTCACTTTGGACTGCCGAGTGTCACGCAGCACTAATCTGGGGAGAATGCTAAGAGAATGAAAAGGCTGTGATGCTGACTGCTCCCTGCCCTCTTCATCCCCCTCATCTCCTTCCCTTGAACACCTACACAGAGCCAAGCACAATGTGCTCCTGAACAGTTATGTGCAAGGTCTGAACATTCGTGTGTGCACACACTAGCTGATTGCAATGCTTTTGTTAGAGATAATTGGTTGACAGTGACTGACTTGTTCTATTCCCAGCTCATCAGTGATGGCAGTGTGGTGTATGCAGAAGCCCTTTGGGATCATGTCACAATGGATGACCAAGAGCTGGGATTCAAGGCTGGCGATGTCATTGAAGTAATGGATGCTACGAACAAAGAGTGGTGGTGGGGAAGGATCCTTGACAGCGAAGGCTGGTTTCCAGCCAGCTTTGTACGGGTAAGGCCCTGATCATTGTTAGTTAACCCCAGTCCATTAATAACTTCTGTTTCCAGGCTTCCTGATAAGCTGTGTGTCTCTATACTGGGGGTGATTTAGCTCAACAGGTGCAGGTTAGCAGTACCATGCACAGTGTTGCTTTTTCTTCAGCAGCACCACGTTGAATTGAAGCCTCCAATGAGCATCTCCAGCTCACATACTCTGGTACAAAAATTGCAGTGGGCCAGATTCTTAGCTGGTGTAAATCAGCATAGCACAGCTGCACCAGCTGAGGATCTGTCTCTACAGGTCTCATTTGTTAAATGCAACTGGACAAACTGTGATGTCCAGAAGCAGAGACTACAGTGTGAATAATGCAAGAGTTCTAAATGTCCCTTATTGGTGGTTTTCAAGAACATAATAGGGAGAGCCCAGGCAGGTTCAGTCTCCAAGGAATGCATTTTCTGTGTCTTTTCAAGCAAGAGAGAACTTTTGCTTCATTGTGTGGGCCATAAGTCCCAGTGTGGATTCCTGACTTACATTAACTGCTGCTCCTGCATGTTCTCTTCATCATGAATCACCTGCAAGTTGATTCTCAGAGCTCCCAGATTCTCAGCCCTTTTATCCTAAAGGTCACTTTAGGTCACAAATGACCAAAGACAGGTGAAACATGGAGGAGACCATTCCTGGGGCAATAGTCCCAGTAGAAGTCTGATGGGTTGCAGTGTAAGAGTCCTAGAAACTTTTGCTCTGGGAACAGATCCTTTGTCCCCTCTCAGCATTCTTAAGGTCCCTGGCAAGACACCTGTTCCAAATGGTGAACACTGACTTTTGTAAGTTAGAACATCTGGATCCAGGCCAGGATTGGAGGTTCAGTGGGGTAGAATGGTTTCTGAAGGGCCAGAGCATAGGGTTTTTTGTTGTTTACATTGTGGCCATATCCAAACCAAGGAGCTTCAGGTTGTTGTCTGTAAGCTGGACCCATGTGCCTCTTGGTTGGTAAAACCTCATGGGTACTGAAGGGAATTGTCAGTGCTAGGCTTCAGGAGGTGATGTGCCAGGTTCTCCTACTGGAGTATCTCTTCTGTCCTTGCTTAGGCAACCATATTTTAGCAGTTTGATAATTACAACCTGACCTCAAGTCTGTTTTTGAGAAGAGCAAAAGGGGTTGGAGGTATCAAATAACTCCAGCAACTCCCGAGTCCTCTATTTCCTTGGTTCTGCTCAGTCCAGTTTTAGAATTGGGTTTCACCTGGAGATTTTGGTCTTCTGTTAGCAGTGAAAGAAAATCTGGATTTCATATCTGATCTGTTTGCCCTACTGTTGACTAGAGTAAGCAAACTTAGTTATAACCAAGTAAATGTAGATCAAACGTGCATGTGGATATGTGGTAGGTGTGTAACATATGTGTAAATAATCCTACCTGGAAGCATGTTTACCACATAAAATACTAAACAAATTGCTGGGATCAATGCAATGTTGTAGCTTGTTTCTTGTATTTTCTTTTTTCTCTCCTGAACTTTCTGTTTGTTGCTACATCTCTAATTTTCTACAGGGACATCAGCATAGGGTAGTCCTAGCACTGCTACAGTAGCACTGTATAAAATAAAGTTTGCAAGTGAATTGCTTGAATCTAGTTTTAGTACAATTGATGACACTGTTCTATAGAATGTGGCCCAGGCAAATGGCTGAAATTTTGGAGAGTATTAATTCATGCTGTGCTGCCACCTAATGGTCATTCTGAGAAAGGCACTGCCACAAATTGAATATCTTGTGAACGTGATTACTATGAGCTTTCTCTTCATACTGTATTTCTTGCCCACTGGCATCTATACTCAGTTTGCAGTGCATTCAGTTTACATTGTTACATTACCGATAGTTACATTATAAATAGCAGGTATCCTATAACTAACTGCTAAACCAAGTTTATCAGTGCATAAATTCTCTCTTGATATACATCTCCAAACCAAACTCAGCTGGTAAATCATTTACTGAGGTGCTTTACCTTGTGTTACACATATTTCTTCTGAAAGGCCTATGCTTTGGACATATGATCCTTCTGTCCAAGGGGGTGTCCTACCTAAGCCCATCCATGTAACATCTCAGTTACAGGAGCAGTTTGCTGGGTGACATGAAGGGATTGCCCTTATGCCCTTCAGTGTTTACAACTCTTCCAACGATTATGAAGGAAATTACTAGAAATGTTAAGTAACTCTAGATTTCTCATAACTCTTCTTCCCTTCCCCCTCTGTTTATATAATATGTATGCGCATGCATGCATTTGTGCATGTGTGTGTGCCTGTATTTAGGTTCCCTTTCCTACCCAAGCCAGTCTTTGCCAGTCTCTGCTCTAAACTACAGCAGTTGGGGGCAGTTCAGGGCTGGTCCACTAGGGCCCAAGGTGCCAGAGACATCACAGAATTAATTCTGAAGGGCACTGGTTGACCAGTGCATGAGCCTTGCTCAGGCACCAGGAGAGTAGCCTCTGCTATCTCCCATCATGTCCTTCTTGATGGTAGAAGCACCTTAAACAGGGATCCAGACAAGATGATACAACAAAGTCTGGTATATGAGGGACTGTTATCCAATGTGAACCCTTGTGTTTGACACAGCTCCGAGTAAACCAAGATGAACCTATGGAAGACTATCCTCTAAAAGTAGAGGACGGCAAAGAGGAAGACGTCAGCAGCACTGCCCGCCGCTATGGTGTTGGGCAGACAAGCAAGGATCAGATGAGGACCAATGTGATTAATGAGATCATAAGCACAGAGAAAGACTACATCAAACACCTTAAGGACATCTGTGAGGTAACTAGGCTGAGAAAGGAGAGAACAAAGGGCAGATAAGTTGGGTCCAATTCAAACTCATGAAGGGAGCTAAGGATTTAGAATAGTTTTGTCAGCTATTCTAAATATTACGCTTCCTCTCTAGAAGATAAAGTCCTTTGGTTAATAGGATGGTGTTTCTTTCATATGCCTGTCTGGTATCATTTTTTGCCTACCTGTCTTTAATCATTGTGCATGCTCAGGAAATGGAGAAATTTTTATTACAGGAAATATCAAGGCACTTTTATTTGAATAAATAGGTGAGTTCTAATTAAATATAATTAACTGTGAAAGAGACCAAAATTTGAGGACTAGGGTATTCTTTATTAATAAATTATCTGAGATGATGCGGTTGAAAACAGCAGCCTTTGGACAAACCAAACACCCATAGAACTAAACTCAGAGGCATGTCTTGCCAATTAGAGCTTTTATTTCTGAACATGCTGAAGTCTAATATCACCTTTCAGAAAAGACGTGCCATCTAGATAGAAGGCCTTTGCATGGGCATAGCAGTTTCATCTTCAAACACGTCACAAACTACATAAAATACCAATGAAGTGCAGCCTTCTGCTGGATTGAGAGAGGAAGCCCAGTGGGTCTAACAAGGGGGAAGAGAGGATGGTATTATACAGAGAAAATGGATCAAAATCCCTCCTCTCACTATAGAGTGCCCCAATGTCCTCAGTACTGTCGGTGGCACCCCTTACTCAAGTGACTCCAGATACAATATTCAGGATTGGATACTCAGCGAGTGCAAACTATCATTGCTTCATCACGGGCGCTGTGCAAAATTAGCCCAGGTGAGACCTGGCTCTCTATGTTTAAATTGAACACCTGGTATTCTACAGAAAGCTAGATATTTATAGTAGAAGAGTCTAATGGGCCAGTTGAACCCTCTAGTGTGGCTTAGGGGTAGACATCCAAGACAAGCTCTGACTGTGGTGTGCTTTCCATTCTTACGGGGGGTGACACTTCAGGAACTAATAATAAAGGACAGTAGCATTCATACTGGCATTTCCATTGACGTCAATGAGCCCTAGAGCAAGCACCCCACATGCTTTTCTAATTTGACCTCCTTTCAGGGGTACATTAAGCAGTGCCGCAAAAGAGCTGACATGTTTACAGAGGAACAACTGAAGACAATCTTTGGTAACATCGAGGACATTTACAGATGTCAGAAAAAGTTTGTAAAAGCCCTGGAGAAGAAATTCAACAAAGAGTACCCACACTTGAGTGAGCTTGGCTCCTGCTTCCTGGAACATGTAAGTTGAAGTATCTAAGAGGAAAGCAGTCAGTGTAGGTACTGGGGACAGACTGGCCAGGAGGGGGAGAATGATTGTATTTCACTAATGGAATTGAAGCTTTGGGTTCATTTGTTTGTTTTTTAATTAAATATCCAGCCTTGTGATTGCAAATAAGTTTCCCTGTGCACCTCAGTAAGGAGCAGACATATGGATTTAACAGATTTTAACTGGTTCTTTGATCACTTCATCAGGTGTCTGGGTAGGGGATAGAGTGACCCACAGAACATGAAAGCATCTTTGTCACCCTCTGAAAAGCAGCATGTACAGTTTTTAATGGACCCCAACCAGGCAGGCAAACATAGGTCTCCTCTCCCTCCATGGGGAAGAGGAAGCAGAATGGCAGGTGAGGGCACAGCTCGTTGTTGAAACCATGGGGCCACTAAGGGAAAATGCATGTCTGCACATCTGGAAGTACTGGCTACGGGGTGGGTGTGGTGTGAGGAGTGTCGGGGGGGTGGGGGGGGGGGGGGGGGGGAGGTGGTTGCCTCTCAGGACTGTTTGGGCAAGCCTCTTTAGGAGCAGCATGGCTACTGCAGAAAGTGATCTGCAGAAGAGGCCTGCACTGAGGTAAAAGATGACTGAAATCTGCACTTTGTAGGATTTTTCCATATGCAGCATTTTCAGCCATAGGCTCCACATGAGCAGCATTAACACTAAGGGCTGCTGTTTCCTTTCTGTCTTAGCAAACAGAGTTTCAGATATACTCTGAGTACTGCAACAATCATCCCAATGCCTGCCTGGAGCTGTCCCGCCTTGCTAAAGTGAACAAATACGTCTATTTCTTTGAGGCCTGCCGCCTTCTTCAGAAGATGATTGACATCTCTCTGGATGGGTTTCTTCTTACACCAGTGCAGAAAATCTGCAAGTACCCACTGCAGCTGGCCGAACTGCTCAAATACACCAACGCCCAGCACAGGTAGGTCATCACAGCCAAGGTAGCTCAGAGAGACACAAGTAACAGGATACTCTGCACTATTTTCTCTGAATTAAGGGTATTCCCAAACAGCTGCACTGTGGAGTCACTATTCTTATATGTGTAAGCTCTGATGTGAAATTTTTTTCCTTACTAGATTAACAAACGTTCCCCCAGATACTGGTGGTCAACCCTGATAAACTTGTAGGTGGCCATCAGATCACCCCTGAGCCTGCGCTTTTTCAGGCTAAAGAGCTCCAGGGCTCTCAGCCTGTCATCGTAGAGTCTGCTTCCCTGACCTCTGATCATGCGCGTGGCTCTTCTCTGGACTCTCTCAAGCTTCTCCACATCCTTTTTGAATTGTGGAGCCCAAAACTGGACACAGTACTCCAGCTGCAGCCTCACTAAGGCCGAGTACAGGGGGAGAATGACGTCCCGGGATTTGCTTGAGAAGCATCTATGGATGCAAGCCAGCGTTTTGGTCGCTTTACTAGCTGCCGCATCGCATTGCAGGCTCATGTTCATCTTGTGGTCAATGATGACCCCCAAGTCTCTCTGTTCCATAGTGCTAGCCAACATAGCACTGCCGAACCTATAAGGATGCTGCGGGTTTTTCTTCCCAAGGTGGAGAACCTTGCATTTATCGGCGTTGAACACCATCAGATTCTCGTCCGCCCACTTGCTGAGCCTGTCCAGGTCAGCCTGGATAACCTGCCTGTCTTCTGGTGTGGATGCTTTGCCCCAAAGTTTGGTGTCATCGGCGAACTTGGCCAGTCCGCTTCTGACTCCAGTGTCCACATCAGGGTTCCTTAAAGAAACATATTCCTGTATAAAGCAACTAAAATAACTGGTTGCACAAATAACCATGAAAATCTGGATCTGAGGCAAGTGAATGCATGTACATTAATCCATGCCTGGTGCTGCATGCCAGGGCAAAATTGGCTACTGGGATTTCTTGGTAGCAAAAAAACAAACAAACAAACAAACAAAAACCTGAAAAAAGTGTCACAAACCACACCAAAGTGGCATGCACTGGGACAAATGCAAAGACAAGGTGCCTCAAGATGGGGAAGCAGGGAGCCCTGGGCTGCCTGCTGCCCCGTCTGCATGCCTCAGTGCCAGGGCTCCACTGTAGAGGGGAACACATGGGAACACATGGTGTGTACATGGACAGGTCACAGTCTGACCTACATCCAGCTAGATGATGAAAGGGAGCCAATCATTTCTGAACCCTCCTGGCCCTTTCCTGATATTGGTTAATTCTTTGACATTTGATAGCAAGAGAATTTGCCTTTAACAATGCTTTTGTGATGGGCAAAATGGTGCATGCAAATCTCAAAAGGAAACAGACTGTAACAGCAACAAATACTTGCATCAGGTTTTAAAATGCTCGGTATTCCCAGTAGGGCCTGGGGTTCCAAGAACTCATCTCCTTTGAATCTCTGCTCATGTCCGCAGAGCTGCACAGCTGATGGTTTCAGTATGCTTCCAAAATAGGGGGAAAAAATGACACATTAACCCCAACTTCCTGGCTTTGAGCCCTATGCCTTATTCACTATCCTGTTGTCTCTTGGAACAGAGCCAGCATTTTTTGGCATCTGCTCTATTCACTCTGCCTGTCCTCATGGGCTTTCTTTCCCCCTAGGGATTTTAAAGATGTTGAAGCTGCCTTAAATGCTATGAAGAACGTTGCTCGGCTCATCAACGAAAGAAAGAGGCGGCTGGAGAACATAGACAAAATTGCCCAGTGGCAGAGTTCCATAGAGGACTGGGAGGTAAAGGGCACCTTGAAGGGACTGACACTATGTAGAGTGGTTCTTTCCTTTACACTACAAACTGTCACCACCACATATGGTGCCGTTCGTTTCCCATGCAGTCACCATGGGGCAAATGCTTTTTGCCCACATAGATGCTTAAGCAGAACTTGGTGGGGATTTACGTGATAAAGAGGGATCCAAATGGGCTGTGCTAAATGGCTACAAAACTTGTGTCTCTAGATTCACTGGATGCCTCCTGGTTGGGCTGAAAAGATCCTTGGGCACCTGTGCTGGGATTTGGGTTACTGAACATGCTCCAAAGGGGTCTGATCAGGGGCCAGAGCCTCATTCACCTCTGAGATGCTACACCTTGGGCATTGCAGTATCTAGACGCTAGACCCCTCCTGATTGAAGGGACAACCTAAATCAGCAGGGTTAGTGTCCCTCCCCACACACACACGTTTTCTATACAGCCAGTGGGAAGGTATAGATGCCTCCCAGTCTGGACCACCTTTGGGCACTTAGGTCTCCCCAGTCACTGTCTATATTCAAGGCAGCTCAATTTACCAATCTGATCATCCTACTGGGGCAAGGCACTTAGGTGCTGCAGGATCTAAAACTTAAGTAGAGACACCTCCACAGTCAGCTAGTGTGTGACTGGCAGACCTAAACTGGCCAGACATCCCTCTACTGCAGGGGTGGGCAAAATGGTGGATCCCGCCAGCAGTGGACTGCATTTCCTATCAGCCCCTGCCTACAGGGCTGCTGCTGGTTTCCATGGAGAGCCTCCAGCAGCAGCCATGCTGTGATAGTGCAGGGCTGGGCTTTCCATGGAGCCTGGCCCCAGAAGCAGTGGCAAGGTAGGGAGCTGCTCTAGGGCTGGGCTGGGCTGGGCTCTTGCATGGTCCAGAGCCAGGGTAGAGCCGTGATCTGCAGCCTGCATGCTCCAGGCAGGGGCATGCAGGCAGCAGATCGCAGCTCTGCCCTGGCTCCAGACCATGCTGTCGCCGCTGCAAGATCCCAGCCCAGCACCAGAGCAGCTCCCCGTCCTGCCATCACTGCTGGGGCCCAACTCTGTGGAAACCCCAGCCCCCTGCTATCACAGCACAGCTGCTGCTGGGGTCTCCATGGAAACTGGCCCCAGCCACATGGGCAGGTGCTGCTGGGAAATGGAGTTCACTGCCAGCTGGATCCGGCCCATGGGTTGGACTTTGCCTACTGCTGTGTTACTGCCTCTGGTATGTTGTCCTAGATTTTGTCTTCCTGACTTCCTTGTTCCTTGCAGTTTGAAATTGGCGCACGCTGTTGAAAGGGCAGGAACCCTGTGTCTTATCTGAACAGTTTGTAATGATTCTCAAGGAAGGCAGATTTGCTATCCACAGCTTTTAGACTGTAGCTTTGTGGGACTCATTTTCCAAGAGATAAGGATGGAAGCTGAATGTCCCCTGTGTGCTCAGATAGACTAATCAAACACACATTTTTAATGAACAAAACAGATTGTTTTTTCTAGAGTTGAGCAAGTTATTATTCAGTAAATTGTCCTGATAATATTGGGCCAGATGTTCAGCTGATATTAACTGAGGTGGCTGCTTTGTGGGCAGAGAACCAGGATCATATTAACTGCTGGGAGCAGATCCTGATGCTGAATCTAGTACAGAATCTTCTCTTTTTCCACCCCTGCCCAGCCAAATGCACCTTCCTTGTACACAAGAAAAACCAAAATCCCTCCCTCTGTTATAGAGGGATGACTCTCCGGTGCTGTGGAGTAGTAAGAGTCCCTCACCTTTTCTACTCCAGGCCTTTTCACAGAGAAGGGATGTATCTGGTTACCCATAGTCCCCAGCAGCTTAAGCCCTTACCACGTAAACAGCTAAACCCAGCACTGATGTCGAGCCACCTCATGTTTCTTCTTCTCTGGTTTTGGGGTGAACTGACATACTCTCTGTGCTGCAGGGGGAAGATGTCCTGGTCAGAAGCTCAGAACTCATCTATTCTGGAGAATTAACCAAGATTTCCCAGCCTCAAGCCAAGAGCCAACAGCGAATGTTCTTCCTCTTTGATCATCAGCTTGTCTGCTGTAAAAAAGTGAGCTGAGCAGCAAGCCCCTGCTGACCAGCTCAGCAAGGGGCAAATCATGTGTCTCAGTTTAATTTTGCTTCCTACCATTCCCTGTCGATGGCATTTCTTTAGCATCACAATTCAGGCTGCTAGGATGGGTGGGTGTGTGCATGTGTCTAAGACATGGGAGAGGCCTGGATGCAGACACTGCAATTTTCTCCTGAGATCTTGGTGTACCTGTGCACTTGATGGTGGGCAGTAGGTTGAATACTGTGTTCAGGATAAATCTGCAGTGCCCAAGCAAGCTGTGTACTGTTTCATGAAAAATTAATGAGTGGGGTTTACTGGTTTAAAAACCAAATGCACCAGCATCACCACCCTCTTTTTTTATCCCACATACAGATATCATCAGCAGGATTTTGTGAGCAGTTTAATAAAACGATATTCAGGGGACAAATGAGGCTTTGACTGGGTATATAACCTTCATGGCACTGAAGTAGGCTTCACTATTTTCATATACAAAACAGAAATAACTCCTGTGTTATCACAAGCCCATTAGGTAACCTATTCAAATAGTGGGAAAGCTCACAATGCCTCAAGCGATCATCTGTTTGGCTTCCTTTTAGGGGGCTAGAGCCCAAACCCAGTAAAGTCAATGTGGGCATGTCTGCATGAGACACTTAATGAGCGGTAGACTAATTCTACTGCACATTAGCATATCACAGCAAAAGCCACACTAATATGCAGTAGAATTAGTCTACTGCACATTAAACGTCATGAAAAGACCACGCACCTTTGCTACTGTGCAGTAGGGCCAGCCAGTGGCAATGCGTAGGGAGTGCACGGGGGTGTACGTGCACCCCCTGATGGCCACGCTCACCGCTTAAGCAACGGGCAGGGGGGGCAGGCAGGAGCGCTGGTGCCCCTCCTGCGAGTGCCAGCCAGGGAGCAGGGCTGCCAGGTGATGCAGCTGCACTCCCAGGTGGTGCACGAGTGCGGAGCAGGGCCGCCGGCAGAAGTGGCTGGCGCCCCCTACCGGAGGCCCGGGGGCACCT